GAAAACACACTGAGCAAAAGGGCCTTGACTCAAGCGCTTTCTTCAAATATCAAGTTTGGACTAAACAGCAACATGGCCAGTTCTTGCATAATGCTGTGGGATGGTGTTATATTTATTTAGCTTTTCCACTATTCTTTGTAGAGAATCCAGATATGTCTTTGTTTCCACAGGGGGACAAATATATGGAAACTGACAATAATCTAAGAGTCATGCCTCTAAAAGCAGCTAGAATGGGAGGATATCTATCACTTCTATTCACTCTTAAAACTTTTAAAATTACAGGCCAGATAAATTATTTCCATACCTTCTCCCCATTTAATCCGACATTTTTTAACAATTCAAAAAAATAATAAATAAATAAAATATTCTCTGAATAACATAAGAATCAAACAAGGCAAAGCAATCTGCTTCTATTTGTGCTCATATTTATCTTAATTACTCTGATGAAGTGGTCCAGGGGAGCTGCTTTAGGGATTGAAGCTCCAAAAATGTCAAACAAGAATAGGCTATGTTCCTGCAATAATGGCGCACTCTTTATGTGTCTGAATTAAGAAGTAGGGTTTCAGAATGTTATTCTTCAAAGGAAACTTGTCTGGATAAAACCTCCCAAATCTGTCAAGAAAACTGTCTGAATGACCCAAACTGGACCTATCAGATCCCATTTTCAAAACTTTGGCAAAAAACATCACTGTGCATTACAAAGAACACCATGCCTGCTGTGCAACACGGTGGTGGCAGCATCATGCTCTGTGGCCACATTTCTTAGGGCTCCTATTCCATTTAGTTTGGACCTAAATACTCAGGCTGTTTGTAAGGAAGCTGAACATTAAGAAAGAGTTTTAACTTTACTCTAAACCCAAACACAAATCCAAAACTGCAAATCCAAAAAATGCTTCAAACCACAGCTAAGAGCTAATTCAGGAAAAAAAAAACATGGACAGTCATTTGAAGCAGACTGTTGACAAGAGATTTCCTCACAAGCCGAAAGATCTGGATTATTTTTCTATGGTGGTGTGGTTAGGTATGGGATGAAGAACACTTTTCTATTAAAACTGAATTTTGATCAAGAGCCAAGTTTTTGTTTCGAGGTGCGTTTATGTATGGAACAAGGCAACTGTAGAAAACCGAAGTCATAAAGGCGGAGGATGTTTGAAAAGTATTTATTGGAGTCCATCCATCCATCCATCCATCCATCCATCCATCCATCCATCCATCCATCCATCCATCAATCCATCCATCCATCCATCCATCCATCCATCCATCCATCCATCCATCCATCCATCCACCCATATTCTCCTGCTTATTCTCCGTCTTAGTCTTAGGGACGCGGTGGGGCTGGGGCCTATCTCCGGCGGTTTATGGTCGAAAGGAGTGGTGCACCCTCGACAGGCCGCCAGTCGCAGGGCAACACAAAAACGCACACAACCATGCATACCCACTCATAACTAATTACATTTTAGAGAAGTGGATTAAAAATCATGTTTTTGGACTGTGGGAGGAAGCCGGAGTACCTGGAGAGAACCCATACATGCACAGGTAGAACATACAAACTCCATGCAGAAATACCACGCGCCAGGAATCAAACCCAGATCCTTCTTGCTGCGACTCAACAAAGCTACCCACTAAGTCTAAGTTGGGATTTTAACATAGAAAACCTTTAAATTAGATCTAAAAACAAGAGTGCCTGATTCTAAATTGTTAAAAAAAACAACATATTGGCCTCTCTTGAGGAACATGTCGAGTCCTTTTAGTCATAAATCTAAGTTGCAGATGGTTTTAAAGGCTGCCTGCGGGTAGAATCCCTGTGACTCCGGCCTTGCCGGGCGCTCCGTCTCCTCTCTGTTCCTTGGAGCTGTAATCTGTCCCCAGGCTGGCAGGCCATGGGATGAAGCCATGTCAAAAGGCAGCAGAGGTGTTAGGAAAGGAAGCCTCGCTATGTGTGAGGTTAAGTCAGAGGCCCCATAGTGGCCTCGTGGACGGACTGATAAAAGCCCTGGGGCCACGGCTGTGGCCTCAGCTTTCGGCCACACTAGCTGAGGCGCCGTGTCATTTAGCCCGCGTTGCCGCCTAACTGAACGGCAACTGCTCATTTACAGGGCAGTGCGGGCTACCAGGATGAACAGCGAGCTCTCGCCTCTTTTCTCTCTCATTCTCTAACACACATGCATTTACAAGATGGCATACATACACATGCAAACACAGCCCTGTTCAACAATTAGTAAAGGGCAACATGGACTGCCATTCATACACAATGGCATGGGAAACAGAACCGAAAAACCCATGTAGCTCCACGCATACAGGTTTCTAGGGAAAGCACTGGGTCACATGAGTGACCAGACGGTGGTTTGGGTCTGTTGTCCCACAGCCAGACGTGGTCACTGTGTCACTAAGAAACAGGAGAAAGGAGAAGGGAAGTGCGGACACCACAGGTCTGCAAATGCCAGTGATTTAAGCGCTCTCGCACAATGGGACATGACACACACACACACACATACATCTGTCTTTCAAGTGGACCGTACTCTTCATGCAGCAAAATGAAAGTAATTCCGGCAGCACGTTTGTCGCCCTGCAAATCCAACATCTTTCTGTGTAAAAGTTGTGCAACATGGATCGTTTCCTGTTTGGCAATAACTGCTGAAGAAATCTTAAAAATATATATGGCTCAATAATGAAGGACTGCAAGACAAATCTTTAAAATTATTTTAATTTTGCTTCAGACATTTTATTTTATGCAAAATTACCACTTACTTTACATTTCAAAAGTATTCATACCCTGTGAAACCGTTTCATATTTGATCCAGTTAAACCCAAACTTCAGTGATTTTTTTAGGGTTCAATTAAAGTGACATTAACGCTTCATACATTCAGTGAGTCTGTTCCAATTTGCATGTTTTCAGACAAAAACAATGGCTTTGTTGGGCTACTGTATAAAACCTAGGACTCAACCATATTTCAATTTTGAATTGAAAAAAGCTTCTTGGATGGGAAGCAAAATGTTGTCAAAATTGGAAACAAAGGATTGTTTTTTTTTTGTTTTTTTTTAATGACTTTGACCTGGATGACTGAGAATCTTCACCAGTATTCAGTGAGACATAAAATACTTTGTAATAAACTGGCTTTAAAAGCCAAGCAGCGAATATCTAGTTTAGGTGGGCGAATTTCTCAGCAGGCCAAGGTTTAGCCTTACAGTCCACAAATTGTGACTTAATGTTATCGTAAAAAATGAATGACGCCAACGTTTGACATCAGAAAAGGCCTTTTAGGAGTGTGCACTGCTGAGATGAGACTTTAAACTTTTAGACAGAACATTCATACAGGGAAACTTGGGAGCAGCAGATTCTTGCAAAGGGGATGCTTTTCCTATAGCAGGGGCAACTGAGGAATCTGTACCTTCGGGATGTAAAGACAGAATTACAAATTAGGAGAGACCAAACAAAAGTGATTTATTGACTGACGGAAATTTAACAATAATGCACACCATAACTGTGATTTGGATTTTTAAACATATTTTGATTTTCTTTTCTCTTCAAATTGATATTTTTTCATTTTTTTTTTTCATTTTTTTTATTTAATTCCCCTGCTTGCATAAATATGCTAAAGGTTTACTGCAGATTGTGACCATGAAAGAAAATATGAAATGTTTCAGTAGCTTTGAGTATTGTGTTAATATACTGGCTGCTTTGCTTGATAATTGCGTCTTTGTTAGTGTTTGATTTTGCACTTTAGTTACCTCCCTGCTCAATTTGTGAAGCTGTGACTCTGATATAATGAGCTGATGATAATCGCAATATAAACAGACGAATTGTGCTCAGGGAGAACTTCTGTGTGATGCAGCAAACTGAAACTTCCCCAATAGGGTCAGCCCCTTCCTTACCACAATATTTTAATTACACATTTAAACTGTTAGCAGAGACAGTGGAGCCAACCGCTCCAGACCCTTCCCTTTCCTTGCATTTCATTCAACTTGTTAGATATAAACTCACTTATTTCAGTGCATTTTCAGACATTTAGGTAATCATTCCCTCGAGAATCATAATTATTGAAAAAGAAGCAAAGATGTGTGTATATCCTCTGGTGCTACACAAGCAGTGAAAGGAGTCTGTGAGAGACTGTGAGAACTCTTCCATTCTTAAATTCTACCCAGAAAACTGAAAAGTGTGAAAACCACAATCAGGTATACTCACTTTGAGCTTTAAATTGGGGCAAGGCACTACAGTAGGCCGCGAATACTTCAATACGTGCAAAAGGAAGTTTATAAAAAAAGATATAAAGGAAATTCAAGCATCTTTAGACAAATCCAATTGAGCTTTGTATTAATTGGACCGATATTGACTCGTTATATTTAAATACGGGGGCAAAGTTAGAAAATAGGTGTAAAATAAATGAAAATGAGGGGTTCCAGAGAAAGGGGGGTGAAGAAGACCTAGGCACAGGCAGAGCTGCTTCTGATGAGACTAAGATTATGATACTATCAAGTGGTAAGTGAGGGTGGAGGTTTTGCGGGCCCAAAACCACCGGTTCTTACTAACACAGATGTGCAGTGAGTCAGACAAACATAAAACTAGCTCAAGACTCGCATACAGAGTCAACAGAAACAAGTTCAGGGTAGTTCAGTTTAGTCTTCTTTCAATCTCATGCCTGTGATCTCTGCTGTTTTGAGTTGATTACATTTTAGTCTTTCAGTGGTTCTTATAGTGTTGTTTTAAAGGGTCAAATGTGTGGCCCCCCTGCAGGGTTTGAACTGTGAGGAAAATTAAATGTTTACAAAACTTTGGACGAACAACTAAAAGTGAGAACGAGGACTTGAAGTCTGCGAAGAAGCTTAGAAAGTAAAGGGAGAAACAGAAAAAAAAGAGAAAAAATAAAGTCAAAAGACAGCAGGAGAAGAAGAAGGGAGGGAGAGGGTGGGAGGGAGAGGCCCGGTGACCTCATGTGACATGTGACGTGGGCTCAACCACTCACGGAGGGGAGTGTGTCTGTCTCTCTGTGTGGAGGATGGCGAGGAGGATGCAGAGAGACTGTGGCTTGTAGCCTTTTACTAGCACTGAAGCTCCAGTCAGGCCACCGCCACCGAGGAAGAGAAAGAATAGTGACAGACCACGCTGTCAGACAAGCCGGTTAACCTCGCAGTGTCGGCCTGCTGACTGACAGACCGCCAAACAGCCGGCCCCCTGAGCTGGTGGGCCCCCTCTCATCTCCAGCCCTGGTGAGTCCACCTTCCACACCTGGACGCCTGAGAACAGCCTCACCTTCTCATTCATCCATTGCTTCTTTCTTCTGCATTTCTCGTTAAAACGTGTTCTGCTGCTGCTGCTGCTGCTCTCTCTGCAAGCTTGTGGCTTGGGATTCCTGTGGTAGTCAGAAAACCCAAAGATTCTTGGTTGCAAACACAGCTCCAGGAGTTTCTGCCCTCTCAGGCTTGCCTTCATTCCCCCCGCTCGTCTATTTCTTTTTTGTGTTTTAATCCTGCTCTTTTTCGTTCACTTTCCAAAGGTTGGTGGAGACCTTGGAGACACTGGTCTGTCCTGTCCTGTCATGGCATCCAACAGCATCTTTGACTCTTTCTCCAACTACAGCAGCAGTCTACTTAGAGGTGAGCCCTGATCCCACCCTCAAATCTAACCCCCTCAGTTGTTTAGATAGTTGACAAACAGCTTTGTTCTTTTTCTCATTTGAGCATTAATATGCAGAGACAGATTATAGAAAAAAATAAAAAAGAGGATCTGGTTTGCACTTGACTGATATGGCCCCTTAAAGGCCTCTCAGCTCCTGTGCTTTCTGTAGGCTTGATCGAGTAGCTCCATAATGGGATTCTCACCACAGACATTCATTATCAAGTGAAACTCTCTTTGCGAATACGAGCTCAGCGGCTCCATGTGACCGGCTGCTTTACTGGAACATGGCAATGCAATGAAAGACTGAGCAGGGAAAGGAAAGAAAAAGAAAAACATATTAGTGCCTTACTTCCAGAAGGTACTTTTGGTCTTTGCGGTGAGGTGAGTGCACTTGGCTATCCTTAATGAAGAAACCATTTGTTACCATGGCAGTTGCAATCAGACAGCTTTTACTCGCAAACAGCATAAGAAGAAGAGAAAGAGACAAGCCTTATATCCAGAAAAATAAACATCTCACACTTTTACACTCTTAAGTTGTTAATCTAAGCTGGAGGATTTAGTCATTTCCAGCCGCAGAAAGACAGCAGAAGGGGGGGAGCTCCTTTCCCAATTAAGGCCTTGTAGCAGTGTTAATTAGAGACAGCCACAGGAGAAGCACTACCACTTCATAATTGTTTGCAGAGTTTATCTTTAAAAATCTCCAGAGCCTCACATATATACGCAGTCAGACTTCGCATCTGCGCCTCACGTGAGAACAATCCTCTGATATCCTGTCAGTGACAGCAGATGATGTTCCAGTGTTCTCGCAGCTTCTGCAGGCATTTATAGTTTCCTCAGAGACACGGCTCCAACTCCCCCCCCCTACAACATCCAACACCCAGCTTTTACTCCTTTATAAGTGCTGGATCTGTGCCCTCCTTCATCACATCAGCGCACCACCAACGTCAGGTTTCATGCACACTGTCTATCGAGCTTTTGTTCACCAGGATCTGAGTTTGATTTCAAGATGTAAAGCTGGAATAGAGACAGTGGGGGGTCAAGTAGGGAAACAAGAGGCAGCGCTTTCAAATCGACAGCGAATGTGCAATTTAATTTTAAAATCCTTCCAGTCAGGGGGACTGAATCTGAACTAAAAAAAAAACATTAAAGAAACCAATTTAGTCTGTTATGATTTAGATTGGGGCTACCGCATGCCAGCAAAACAACCCAGAAGGGTGCATCAAACATGCAAAGCAATTAGACCTTTTTTTTTTTTTTTAGTTTGAAGCTGAAACAAATGGGAGCAGCTCTACAGAAACAAGCTTGTGGAAACATTGTTTTCAGCTCCTTAGAAGTCAGGAAACACAACCGAGAAGAGCATCAAGTTCAAGTGCGCAAATACAGGCTCTGAAAATGATTTTGATCTTTTCTTTATCAGGTTACGCTCTCTTTTAAATTTCAAAAAAGGTAAAACGTTAAAAAAAAGGAAATCAATTTTATCAGCAAGAAAACACTGTTTCATATATATTTCATAGATATTTCAGTAATTGTTTTTATAAATTACAACCTGTCTCACAGCGCACACATCTAAGCGTGTGATGTGCAACATCAGATGCACTTCGCGTGAGAAGCTAGAGGACGCCTCACCTCAGAAACCTCAGTTCTCTGCTGAAAGCTCAGAGAAACACACACAACTACGCACGTACACGCACACACACATGCGCCAGGGAACAGACAGTGCTTTTCTCATGCTATTTAACTCTGTATAGCACAAGAAGAAGCTAAACGTCTGTCAGTTAGAGAGCTGTGAGAAACAAAAGGAGACATACATACTAGTGCTTTGCCAAGGTGTTAATCTGATGCAGACTCATGGAGCTGCTGCAAGCCACTGATAACAACCACAATGAGGCTACACCTGCTAACCCTCACACAGTTTTAATCAGAGAGCGGCGTTTCTGGAAAGCAAATAAATAAAAGAAGGAGTTGCCTCCATAGAGAAGAAATTGAGTCGTATAACTTTTCCTGTTGTGTTTAGTTTAGTTCAGAAGCGCTGGCCTCAGGTGGAAAGCCGGGTTTTGCAGCGACAGATTTCGGGCCTCTGTGGAGGGTCATATCCTTGTCTCGGTTACTGACGCCTCATTTCCATCTGCTCGGAAGGGCCGCTGTGTTCCCCCTGCAGGCTGTTTTTATCCATGGTTATTTTTTTAAGTGTTAAAAAAAAAAGAAATGGAGCCAGCTTCCTTCTGTGGCTGACTAAAAAAAGAGCCCCGGTTTATAAGGGTGGAAGGATTTTTATGTGTTTGGCTTATTGTGCTGAATGAATGGAAGTTAGAATGGAAGAGAAATCCTCACCAGCAGGGAGGTTGTGTTTGAAGATGTTTTTTTTTTTCCTGCATGTGCTAAGAAGGAAAAGATATGATGCTTTCAACTACTGGCAAATAAAAAATAAAAGGCCCTGTACGGTAGCTCCATCAAAAGTGTCCTTAAATTTGTGAGATCACATGGCTTATTGCTGCTGAATTTATTACCAAGTCATATGGAGAAGAGTATGTTCTCTTCTGTTAAATGAACGTCTTATTGGAGGCAACTCAAAGCCCCGCTGAGTGTGAGGCCCAAATATGAAAGGACTGGCTGAGCAGGCTGAAAGCTGTAACCAGATATAAAGAGTTTCAATATTTTAAAGCGAAAGCAAATAATAGAAAACTCATGACGACCACAGAGCAGCGAAACCCTGTCTCCAATTTAGCAGAATATAATAGGTATTTATAAATCTCTGAAGGCACATGAGACAGAGAGAGAAGGCTCTGGACTTGATTAGGTCTGTTAAACGTATTTCTGGGTACTTATTTACCTTTCATTTTGTCTCGCCGCTTCCACCGCCTGTCATCACAGCTTTATAGGGAACACTTTCAGGGGTTTGCAACTGTGATGGCTTCCAGGTAGAGTGGTGTATTATGAGGTTGACGGATCATGTAAGCCTACTCTGATTCACCAAGTTCTGGCTCAAAAAAAAAGAACGAGCTCAATGCATTGGTAAACGTTAGAGTGCGTTAATACGAGTTTCTGGTGGGCGCTAAGTGACCACAGCGCCCAGATTCTACAGTGGAAAATCAGGTTTTGCTATTGAAAAAGATTTTCTTTCAACTTGCTCCTTTCATTAGACACCCATATAAGCAGGTGAAGCAGCGTTTGTATAGAAATTGATGTGTGTTAAATCTAGTGAATCATGAAGAATTTTAATTAAACTCTGAACTACTTTAAAAAGAAACAGTAAAGAATACGAGAGAGATGCAAATTACAAGCAAGATCCACTTGTTTAGCCTTTAGGATGGATGAAAACACTGTGTTTAAAGCTTGCAAAAAGTGTTCACACCCATTGAATTTAGTCAAAGAATTAATAAAGTATTTTTTGCTTTCACATTTGCAGTCTTCTTCATTTAGTCTGGTAGACCCCAAAAATAACCCCGTGCAACCAGTTGCCTTTAAAAGTCGACTGATTATTAAATAGAGACCCTGTGGGTCTCATACCAGTATTTTGCAGAACGTTTAGAGCAGCATGACACTAAATAAACACAGACAGGTCTGTGACAAAACAGTGGAGACGTCATTAAGGTAGATCCAAAGCTGAGAACATTTCAGAGAGAATCTTCTAAAAATAAAGTAACACAACTGCAATAATACTCACAATAAAGCTGAGTTTTATGTAAGAAGGGACAAAAAATATTTTGCCATAGTTTGCCGTAAGATATGCAGGGGAAAGAACAACCTTAAACTAAAAAAACTAAAATCTTTGCATCATTCTTAAAACATTTTTTCCAAGGTGGAATACAGTAGTGGCAGCATCATGGTTCACTTCAGCAGAGCAGAGTCAAAGGTCAAGCAAAGATCCATGGAACAAACTGCAGAAAAATCCTTAAAGAAAAGCAGAGCCTGCTGCCTTCCTAAAGATAACACAGCTTAACAAAGTGGATATTTTAAAAGGGAATATTGCCTTAAAATAGCCCATTTAAAGCTTATTCATAAACCATTAATTTGGACCCAATTTAAAAACAGATCCAGAGATGTTCTCCCTAAAATCTGAACGAGTTTAAACTATTTTAAAAAGAATATACAAACATTTCCATCCTTGATATGCAAAGCTGGTAGAAACATGGTATAAAAAGATGAGTTGCTCTAATTACAATGATCCAATGATTCTTGTTAAATATGGGAATGGTTACAAACCCAGATTAACAAGTTTAAAACAAGTTCTGGTCAAGTTTAAAACTCTAAATCATTTTCCTTCCATTGTACTATCCTGTTTTAGTTTGTCATATAATATTCCCATAAAATACAATGCAGTTTTTGGATGATCACAAGAAAAAGTGTGGAAACATTTATAAAGTACAATTGATTTTGTAAAAAAACTGTACAATTGAATAATACGATTAAAATGATGGTCATTTTCAATGTTTGTGCTTGTTTTTCACGCTTGAGCAGACAGGGTTTCATACTAACACAAAAATCCATATGATTAAATTCATTTGGTTTCCATCAAGGATGATCTTGCTTTTCTGATTCTTCATTTTGTTTCAATCCCAAGCCCTAAACCACAGGATGGTCTCAGGCCTTATAAAGCGGTAAAGCCTGGGGCCGTAGAAAAAAACACAAGCATCATTGTGAGCTAATTTATGCATCAACCTAAAATTATTGTGCGCTCAAAGTCAATACTCTGGCGATTTCCAGCAGGGATGAAAATAAGTCAAGCAATTTAAAAGTTTATCACAGGTTTGCTTTGTTTTTTTAAGGGGCTGACTCAGACAGGGGAAAAAATTTATTTTTTTTTTTTTTGTTTAGACCCCTCCCTGCATTGTTAATGTGGTTTCTGCCGCTACAAGAAGGTGGAAAAGCAAGACGTGACCAAGAACAGACTCGACTGCTTTGCACTTCAGTTTTTAACGTTACAGCTGCATCCCAACCCACAAATTACTTTTAATGGGCAAGCATCGGCGTGGTCCTC